GGATATTAATCATGAGTCTTGTCAAACGATTCAAGTTTTAAAATAATATATTAGACAATATAGATGGGTACTTAAAATGCTGTATCCTGTATGCATTTGCCAAATTCATTAATTAGCTATAAATCTTTAATACATTTATATATATATATATATATATATATATATATATTGTATACATGGTTTGATTATTTATTTTGTAAATCCAATCAAATCGTATATCATTGTTTACTGTAATTTTGTGTTATGTGCACTTATCCTCAAAAGCTATCGTGTTAAGTATAATTTATAGGGTTTATTTGTATTATAGAGCCTATTATGACCTGCTGCTCGTTTGAGTTTCACTGATGCTACAACAAGGTGCGTTTGATCAATTGTATCCAACTTTTGAATGTTTGCCCATTATGAAAGGTTTGAAATCGATAACCCATCACATATGATGTCATGATCATTATTTAATGAAGTCATTCGTGTCTTTAGCGAAATAAATAGAGCATCGACTGATTTGAAAACATGCATGTGCGACGTGTGTCATAAAAATACTAATAATGAGATATCAGTAACTATCGGCAAATTAGTAATCACTGTAGATAATTACTATAATGTATGTTTGATTCGATTTGAAAAAATATTACTACACACGGTGTATTTCTATAATAAAGGGTAAATGAAAATCGTATTATTATTATGCGATTACTCAAAATTATATTTAAATTTTAAATAGGTAACAATAATGTATAATTTTATCAGTCACGTTATCTTAAGTTTGAAGTTTGTTGTCTTAAAATATATTTAGAAGTTTAATAAAATCATTTTATCAGCTTAAATTTATAGCCTACACTTTATAATAAATTCATAAAACAGAAAGTTGTATTCTGCAAGGTATCCATCATAAACGTTTTAAAACTCTACCAATTAACATAACATAAAATATGCATTATTAATGAGATTTTAGCGAAACAAGAAAGTTAGATATTGGTTTTATCACCGAGTAGGTAATTTAACTTTAGAAAAAACATCTGTGGGTTGGTTCAAAATTTCATAAAGTTTTGCCGATTGAATATTGTCATGCGGACCGTTGTTTCGAAAAACAAATAACAAAATTGGTTCTATGAGAAACACAAACACTGATTGTTGTAGTCATGTATATTATAATTTATAACAAATACAAATACAAATTACAATAATAACAATTGGATTGGTTACCATCGTAATTTTAATATTATCATAATAATAAAAAAATAATAAATGTATACAAACAAATTGACAATAGAACTAGATGTCAGAGTACCTGTATTATAATATAAATACCTAATAATTAATAAAAGTAATTAATTTCAAAGGTATTGAACAGATAAATAATTATTGTATAGTAAAAAAATAAATATACTTTTTAATTATGCTGTATGTTACTATTGATAAATTATATTTGTATGACTATTAAATATTTTTTTTACTTGTTCTGATGACCTTATTTTGGTCTAAATATTGTTCCTTATTTCCTGTTGGTCAAGTGTGGTTCATAACGCTCTTTTAAACACCTGAACTCAGAGGTAGTCAATTGAAGACAATCTAAGTAGAATTTTCTCACGATTAGGTTGAAATAACATTTTTTTTTCCTACCTTCATACCTAATCAAGATTAAATAGCAACATTAATGATTCCGTCTGAACATAACGAAATATTATTTTTTCCAAACTAAATAAAGTACTTCCCAACTTTGAACGCCGTACCTCTTGATCACATCCTTGAAGAACTGAGTTGGTAGGTAGGTAATAAGAAAACCATTCTAAAACTTATTTTTTACAGGAAATAACATAAGAAATACATGAATTTAATATTGTAATATCATCTTGCTTAAACAATTAACTGTATATAATATAATGTACTCATGTCTACGACAATACTACGAATGACACCTTAGCCTCCATTTTTCCATTTATTAACATTATGGGCATCAACGATTTCCTCCTAAGATGACCTTCCGTTTTCCATAAATGCCCTTTTTCGCCATTATAAATTATAGGTTATACAATTTAGGCAAACTTACTTGTTTATCTTATGATGGTTGATTTTATTCTATATTTTAAGTGATTAAGTTCTTTCATGAGATTCATTTCGATTCGATCATAGGCATTGGTAAGTTTCTGATAACAGCTAATGCATCTTTTTCATTTTTTAATCTACATAAATACGAAACATTTTAATTTGTTAATTTATAAATATTTATTATTTTGTTAGATCACAAAAGCCATCGATTGTTTAGGCATATATTTTATTTGTTTTTGCCGTGGTGAAGAAGTAGTTTTTTATTATACTTGTGTTATTTCAGGGAGACATTTCAGTCAATTGAAAGTTTATGTTTAGTAAACATAATAGTGCTATTTTTCAAGGATTTTATTTTACTCCGAGATCTTGTGATATGGATAGTGAGATTTGAGCTTAATTTTAATTTTCTATTATAGAGTTACGGTTTTGTGTGGAAACAAAAGTGGTTTGCTTTGAGTTATTATTGATTTTTTATGTTTTATTTTGGAGGTCTAAATTCGTCACCACGTAGTTTGGTGGGATTCGATATCGTCCAGTAGAATTTGTGATTTTTACTTTTTAGAACCACTTAACGTAATGTCTTGCCTGTTAACATTTTAGATTTGATAGCTTTATTGTTTTGGTTATAATTAAAGTGGCCAGGTATGATGGCAGGGGATGTAGCAGTTATAGATTGTTTGACTAACTAAATGTGCGTGCTTGCTATAGAAGTTGATTACGATCAGATGGACTTGTTGTTGGCATTCCACGTGTGCGAGAGTATGCCTATGTGTAAAATTTGTTATAAAATACTTCCAAGTATTCGTTTTTAATAAAGGTGTCTCTATGTTGATTGATAAATACTGTTTTGGGTAGTTTAAACGGAATAAAGTATCAAAAAAAGTAAAAGAAAAGAAATTTTCGAAAATCTAAGCATTTATTATATCATACACATGATCGACATCGAATTGAGTAAAAACGTAACATGTTATATTATATTATGTAACATTAAGTGATATCGAAGCTAATTTACTTAATACAATGACGACATAAATTTACAATAGCAAACACGAGTAACATCATAGTACTTATAATAGGATGACTATATAGCTATCCCTATATAAGAAATATTAGTAAGTTCAACACAATATAAATATAAATGAATAGATCAGCAACCACATGAATATGATATCAATATAATTTATTAAACTTTAGTAGCCAATTGCACCATCACTTATACATCATTTTTTATAATTTTATGCGATCAAAATTATATAAATACAATCCCTCGATAGTAAATAAAAATGTTTTTAAATACTATTCAGTGTGTTCACTGATGGTTTCAAATTACATGGTTTATAGTCGCTTTATTATTTTTATTTTAATACGTAACCAAAAAATATTACAATCAAGGGTATTAAAAATGAATTTAAAAAAAAAAACATTTAGGATAAAAATATATATTTTATGCATATTATTATTTTGTGTACTTCGTATTTGAATCGTTTGAATTCGTGATCAGTTTTCTTTCTCACCATTCGAAAAATAAGACAATCATCTTTGTTTGAATTTTTTTGGTTTGCCAATACTATTTTTTATGAATTATTTTCTCGATGTATTATAAGACAATGTTTCTTTATTCCTGTGACTCATATGAAAAGCTTCAAACGCTGCCGTGTTACATTGTTTTGAATAAGCTTAACTCATACATTTCCGCCTTTCAGACTTTTAAACTTATATTTTTAAAACATGTGTAAAATATTACTTCGTTCTACAGTATTATCTAATGAACGGGGGCTCGCAAGCCAAGCCGTAATATTAAGCAATTATGTTGTATAGAGATATTTAAGAAAAAATTAGTTTCGTTATAGAATGTAGAGAAGTTCTTTGGTACACTGAATAAGACACAATCGTTTTTGATTTCGATAAATGTAGAGTTCTCGTGGGATGAAGATTAACCCCCCATAATAACGTATTTTTTGTTTTCAATTGTATGTGGGTCATTATTTCCATGAATTAATTTGAGCTATTTGCTATAACCGCAAGAAAACATTTGCCCCGCATGCGAATATTGTACTTGTCCGTCCGTTGTGATGACTTTCTCGAGCAGACGTTTGCTCAAAAACTTCGAAACCCGTGCGGGTGATCAACGAATATGTGATATCAGGATAGTGGTTAGGGGGAAGTGTGTTCTGCGAGGGAAAATTTGGCGAAAAATGTGCAGCCCGTAATTATATACTCGTTTTGATACGCAGTAGGACGATATATTGATATGATAATATTATTATATTAAAATATAATGTGTATCATAGTCTCTTTCGACGCGCCGGGGCGATTGAACTCCGAGGTCGTCGTCGCTGTCACCGTCGCACGTCCTGCGCGTCCGCTATACCAGCACACATACGCACTACAGAAATATAAAAATATAGGTATACATACGATACAATAATTTTACGTTATATGCCTAGGCCGCGACGACGAAATTATTATTATTTCCTTTTTTTTTTACATCGTCTAGTCGCCACCGCCGCCGCCGCCACTCTTCTGCTGCTCCGATGGCAGTGCGCGGCGTGCAGCGTTCGTGTGTTCGGCGGCGGGATGGGGATGGGTGGGGGATCGGGTTCGGCGATGCGTTGAAACGACGAGCGCGAAAACTCCGGCACACTATAATGGGAAAAACAGACGAAAAGAAAGAGAGGTGTATTATAACTGCAACGAGTGAGATAAACAGTAAAAAAAACTAAAACAGCGACCGCCGCCGCCGCCGCCGCCGCTTGCACCGTCCCCACTATGAGACGTTTCGTCTCTCGGAAAACTCGACTCGGCCCCCGCGTTTATTGGCCGAAATCCGCGGGCGAAAAAAAAACAGGTGGGAAAAACCGTACGCAGCCGCCCGGTCCTCCTCGTCGCCACCGCCACCGCCACCTCCGAATAATTTTGCGGCAACCACCACCAGAAACGCGTCTGAAGACGAGACGCCCGCCGCCGACGAAGACGACGACGATCGCACGCCACAAGACGTCCAGTCCACCGACGCCATCAAAACCTCACCGACGTCTCTGTCCGTCCAGAAGAGAGTCGTCGTCGTCGCACCACCCGAGTCCCGAGAGCGAGCAGTCGACACGGTTTCGGTCTGACGCGATAAACGATCCGACAACTACGGCCCGACTTGTATTTCGATCGTATATACCCGCGACCGCAATCGCCGACAGTACGCGAGGGACAGCCCGCTGCAGCGTCTCCGCGTGTAGTCCGTGCCACGAGCAATAATACTTTATTGTCAAACACTTGCGAAATTCAGAGGCCGACCTGCAGCAAACGCAACTCGTCATCGCAACCAGGTCGTCGTCCTTCTACGTAGGGTCGTCGAAGATCCTGCACCAGCAGTAGCAGCTCCGGTCGTGACCACGAAGAAGCGGCCCTACAGCCATACAATGATATTTTCGAAGTGAGTACTCCTCTGAGATGATATTATTTTAAATGTTACCTATTATATCATCTATCTTTAAGTTGTCCTGCTCTATATTTTATGTTATTCGCAGTCTCGCCTGCAAAATTAAAAAAAAAAAATTTGGTAATCTTATTAGTACTCTATAGTAGTATTATGTGGATAACAATGTGATAGTCGTTTTATAATTATAAATACTTTTTATTAATTTATATTATTATTGTAAAATGTGTCTTTTGTCTATAATATCCTCGTTATTCTCGTCCCACTCGCTCCCAATTCCGGACGTGGCAATATACACGATATAGTTTTGCGATAAATCGGAGAGGGTTTTTTTTTTATTTTTAGTTCTCTTGTCTTACATATTGTATATAATATATATATATATGTTTATTATTTGCTTCATTGTTCACGCCCGAAATTGTGTACGGTCGATCTGTATAATAAGACTCCGTGAGTAATTACTCCGGAACGGATGCACCACTTATCTAACCGACCGGGTGGCGCGGAGGGGAAGTCGACTGCAGACTCGACTACCTACCTAAATAATATTATATACAAGTACATCGACTAATGTCTGCAGAATGTACATTTGCACTCCAAAACGGCCCCTCTCCCGTCTCATTATTAATGTTGGACCGATTGATCGTTTATTGTAATATATTATATAATAATACAATGTATAAATAGTTGTCGTTAAAATTATTTCATATTATTGTGTATGATGGTATGTGTACACCGTTTCGGTTTGGGTGACATCGATAGGATCGCGCCAAAACTGGCCGCCGCCGCTGCTGTCGAATGACGGCGACGTGAAAAATCGCGATGTTATAATAATAAATTATTATTTCGTTGTTGTTTCAAGCGTGTCTATATACATGAGATATAATGCGAAACTTCCAGTATCGAACGGAAATAACGGTCCAGCCCGTTCGTATACATGGACTCACGTATTATATAATAAAATATATCATGTACATAATATACTCGTATATATACGCAAAAAAATGACATGTGATTTATGCCTAAATCGTACATGTATTATCGTAGATGTACGAATATTATGAAGGTGTGTGATGTAAATAATATGTATAAAGTATAATATATTAGATTAGTGCACACATATAAACTATATAAGTCCACTATTTTTGAGCTATAGAATCTTTGAGAGGACGTCTCACTGACGTTTTTCAATTGTTATTTAATACATACATTTTTGGTTTAACTCTTTAGAACAATATTTAAATGACAATTTTCAAAATAACTTCAAGCAACTATATTGTTGCGAGATCTTATGAGAAATCCATGTTCTTATTTAAGTTTTGGTGTTGAAAAAGATATCATTGATTCTATAGTTTGAATTTAGTTAAACACTCATTATAACCATGGAAGATAACAAACAATAATCTTTCGAGCTGCTTTTAGAGAGTAATTCTTGATATTTTATTCAACGATTTTCAATTATTTGTAAAAATAATAGTTTAAAAATAAAATTAACAATAAGAGGTGTCTTTCAAAATGTTGCCATTTTTATTTTCTCAATAATATTAGTATATGTTTCGTTGTTCTAAGAGTCTAAAATCAATCGCAACCGATATTCATGAACGTTGTACTTGATATTTTGTGAAACATCATCTTAAGTAAATGAAATAATCTTTTGAAGTTCTATATAATGTATATTATTGTATATTATTATATACTGCAAATAGGTTTACATATCTTAATCATAATTAATATAATAAAAAAAAGGTTTGTTTAAGTTTTAATAACAAGGAAACTTCACTAGAAATCCTACCTAATTTATATTTTTAATTATATAAAATATGTGTGCACTAAGCCATCGATAAAAGTATATATTGCTTTTCAATATATTTCTAAATTATACGGATGTGGTACAAATATTTCTGACACCTATTTGGCTAACAGACTTTTGACCGATACTCGATCAATAGAAATACAATCGGGCTAAAAAATTAAAAGGCTAATAAACTTTATTCAAGAAAATAAAATAAAATAGATATTATGGAAAAATAATATAATAATATAATATATTTTTTCAAAAAAAAAAAATAGTAAATCGCGTTGGATAGATTTTTAACAATTAAATATAATATATTAGACTGAGGCACATTTTACATTTTAATTAATTTTTTAAAAAAATGATTTATAATAGTAAACGATATTGTAATGTGATAGGTAAGTTAAAATAAAATAATCAATGATTTAAATTTCAGTAAGCAATAGGTATCTCATAATAATATATTTTTCAAGTAAACTGTTACATAACGGAGGTCGGGGGACCTATATGGCATAACCATTTAACAACCCAATGGGCTAGTTACAGTTAAGTGACATAGAATAATTTCCTATAGAGGATAGCGTTATCGAATTATTATTGTTGATTTCTATTAACTTTACTGCCGGTTTTTCGTATCGTCGAAATCACCCTGTCCGCCTCATTATTATATTATGTCCATCGGCCGTTTGTAGGATTCGGCCGAATGTTTACATCCCATAATATGCCAGTTAAAAAACAATTAAACCTCTTCCTTGATAGGTACGACGTCTGTTTATCGCACGTCCAGTGCACATTGTTCGGGATAAAAAGTCGATGGACGGACGTTACGTAAAAACTTAACGCACGGCCGGGGTGAGTTGAACGAGCGTAGTTGTGCATAATATATAATAATATTATTATACATATGTATAGGATGCACCAATGGCCACTGCCCGGAGAAAGCCGGACTATATTATACTCTTGTAAACATTATAATATTATTATACATACACTCGCGGATGGAATTATTTCCCGTTGCAGTGCCGATGCCGTAATCTCCATATAATAATATATTGCACACGCGCACCTGACGTGTAAACAATATAATATAATATATCATTAGATAACGCTTGAGCTCATTATCGTTAGCGTTGCATATAAATTATATTATATATTATTGTTTCGCAATCGGAACCGTTTCGTATAGGCTTACCTAGTGTATATCGATAGTATATTACTATTGTAATATGGCCCGTACACGTATATATTATTATTATTATTATTATGATATTTTAACGTTAACGCCGACAAGAACTTCTTAGAAAATAGAAATTGTTTTTCTCGTTCGACCCCTAACGGCCTTACCTATACTATATTTGGTGTTTTCCGACGTCCGCGGACAGAATATCAATTATATAGGTAGGTAATCAAATTGTCATGGGACATGTTTTGATTTTTCATATTCTCGTTGTACCGAAATATCTCAATAACGCCAATCATTCTACCGTATTAATATTTTTTACGCATTCGTAAATAGTAATATCATAATATATTATACTGAAAATATATTATTTTTTTAAAAAAAAAGTGTACTGTATAATATATAACGTCTGCTAGACACGGATTTTTATTATAGAAACGGCACCTATGTTATATATACTCTAAATATCCGGTCGACTCTGTCGGAGAAAAAAATATGTAAAAATATTCCGTACAACCGCCGACTACGTTACCAGCACAATCGGGAACTATATCAAATATTACACGTCGTGTACTTACCCAAACGTAGGTACAGCCCGTAACGGTATTTTCCATAAAAAAAAAATACGAACGATATGATGAAAAAAAAAGCAACGGCTTAGATAAATAATTGACTATGGTGTTGTGGATGACAAAGCGTTCATATGTGTCATTTTTTGAAGTGCTCGCTGTGAACAACATCAGCTATAGATTTTTTCTTAATTTTCTCCGGACGCGTAGTATAATTATTAAAATAATTAGACACTCTAGCTGACACCTGTATCGAGTCACCCAAATAAAAATGGGTCGAGTAAACAGGCTGGTGGTCATGATTTGGGGGTTTAATTAATAATAACATTATATTATAAACAGAAAGTACTGAAGATTCCGACAGAAAAAAAGACGTGTACGCCGCAGGATGATAAGTGAATTATTTTACGCGTTTTCCAATTTAAATCGTTCCGCAAATATCTGAGTTTTTTTTTTCTGCGTTTAAAACGAAATATTTTAAACTATATTATAATATATTATGCTGTAAGATTCATGAAGTACAGTATTACTATCATATGCACTAATGAAAACCGAACAATTATCGGGTGGATTATCACGTTATTCGCGGGACGACGTGTTGTCACTTGTAGGTCAATAACATACGCGAAGAGCTGAACTGCGGTGCTCTACATACTGTTTAGCCAATTTCGAGGATAAGGGATGCGCTTCGATCACCATAGTAAGATATTATAAAATATATTATCTTTGAAATTATAATATTTATGATCGGACATCGGAAGGGTCGTACACATATACGCGTGCCATGTATAAGTAATATATTATTGTATCGTCGTATGATGATAATATGTAGGCGCACAAATACACTACAACCACGTTAGATATTCGGGATTCTAAGGGCAAACCCGATACCGAGCGTACCTATACGTCTCTATGCATGTATCATAATAGGTACACCATATTACAGGAAAAACGGACGTATTACGTACGAAGTGGTATCTATGCATAACATTTTAAGTACATATATACCTACACACGCATTCACATAGCGCAAAAAAGTGCATTCACCCTAGTCGGACCGAGACGTGCGGCAGTCCATCGAGTTCGTTTAATGTCAAGTCGTTTCCGCTTCACAAATCATCTGATTGTCCATTTAGAAGACGTTGTATATATATATATATATATATATAACATATTTATTGCAACCGACACAACGCTCGATCACGGTCTTGCTTTGGATTTTTTTCCCAACAATAATACCTGTGTATATATAATATTGCGTTTTTTTACGAACCGTCCATCCAGAAATCGAAAAACCATTGGGACGAAATTGAGTAGGATTCGAACGTGATTCTTTTGATTGAGTTTTTTTTTTTGACTCGTTTTGTCGTTAATACTGTACGTTTCCGGTGTGCGACGACCGGCCATATGACCGATACCACAACGTCGTGCTCAGGTTACCTCCACCCTTTTG